ACACGCCGGTTTCTAAGCAGTTTCTTGTGCTGGAGTTGGATGTTAATACTACATCTGTAAAAGAAGGCGCTGCTGAATGCAACCACCGTTTCCCCTCCTTTCCTTGGGGCAGGGTGGCTAGACATCTCCTCCCTCCGTCGGCGCAGGGAAGGTTCCGCTGAGCGCCGCTTGGTAGAGCCGCGCTTGTACGTAGCACCCCCTGCTTGAACGCAGGAAAGGTCGACGGTACATTCCCGCTTACTTGCACTGATTTCACAGTGTTGAATTCCGAGCAAGCCGGTAGGCCGGCTGGCCTTCCCTGGCCGCCCGTGCCGGAGCCAATGACAATCTGAACGCTTCTGTCCCCGGAGAGCATCTTGGCCGGGTGAAATTGCCTCTTTCAAAACTCGCTTCTGCCGCTGCAGCCAGACGGCTCTCTAACGTTCTGCACAGTCCCCGCAGCGTCCAGATTCTGCGCGCCTTTTAAAAAAGAAACCTCCTACGTTGCCTTCTGTGTAGTTGTGTTGTGTTAAAAAAAAAACAAATGGTACCCTTTTGAAAAATTATTTTTCAAAGTTGCCTTGGGTGGCTCCGTTCGCGTGACATCAGCAGAAGCGGAGGAGCGTGTCTTAATATCTCGGTACTGAGCGTGCCGCTCGCGAAGAAGAAAGCGAACTGTCATTCTTTCTTTCTTGCCTGGAGACAGGTAGCCTCTGCAGCCGCCAATACCCCGGACAAATGTCAGGGTCGGCTTCTGTTTCCCTGATAAAGGTGTGTTTCATAGAGGCCTTGTGGTTTGGAAGGGCACTGAGGGACTTGGGTCCGCAGCTGCTTAAGTTCTGCTAGAAGTTTCAGCTTCGATCCTCCCATGGCCGCCCTGGAGGGAGAGGAGACGGCGCCCTTATGAGGGATTGGAGGACGATCAGGCCCCAAAACTTTGAAATCGTGCCGCCTTCGCCTTCCGCCTTCGCCCTGGTCCGGGGGCTTCTCAAAGGAACCGCTTCCACTTAAAGCGAACGCGTCTCCCCCCGCGGGCGCGCCCAGATGACCCGATTCCAAGTTCGGGCCCTCCCGCTTTCCTCCCACGGGCTTTTCCTTACGGTACTTGGGCTGGTTGTCAGGTATGCCTGTATAGGATTGCAGCCTCAAGCGCGCTCAGATGCCGGTCCTGTCTCCCACGGCGTCCAGTAGGCATCGAATCCCGGGTACGACCATTGAGGTTAGCAATGGGCTTTTGCGACCTCATTCTGTTTTCTCTTGGTTCCGGGGCATGGGGGGGGGAGGGCGAGAAGACACAGCGGCCAGGGCGAATCGGGCCCGCGCTTCGGCTCGAGTCCCTGGATCTGCATCGTGCCTGCTGACCAACAACCTGGGAGGGGAAATGGGGGAGGGGGAGGAGGAACGGGGGTGGGATGAAGTGGAAAGAAGCCACTAGTGCCATTCCTGGCCAGCTGCTGTCCCCAGAAAAGGGAGGAGATGCAGCTGGGAGGCCCCCCCCCTCAATACAGAACGCGAAAGCAATCTCTACGGGACTGTGAGCAAAAAAGATGAAGAAGTCCCTTCAAACAGCACAATCGCCTACAGTAGTCCTCACAATGTTCCGGAGAAGGTGTGCAGTTTCTGTATTTTAATCGAATTGTGGTGATTGTGAAAAGCATGGAGGTTTGAAGCCAGTTCTGTTAATAATCGATAAGCCTACCCATATGAAGTTTAAATCATTACTTGTCCTGCTTGGCTCTCCCAAACCCAAATTTCTTCCTAATTACACAGGCATTGGGTTGAATTCAGGCTTAATCGTGTTGGTCTAAATTCATTGAAACCCATGAGGCTGAAGTTTTGTTGATGCCTGTGGTTCTGGCTCAGCATGAATCTCCTCCACTAACTGCCCTCAGGCATGTTTGGCTGGTTTGTCTATCTGCTGACTTCCCTCTTAAGAATGGCTGTGTGTAAAATCTTCCTCTGTATTGTTCTTTGGTAAGTTTCTCCACTAAGGTTGATAGGAACTATTTCCAGGTATATACTTACAACCATGATCTCCAAATATTAATACTCCAATTACTTTCCTGCAACCTTAACAATTTTTTTTAAAAATTTGCTTACAGGTGTTTCTGTGAGTGAATGGAAGCTAGGGCTGGAAATGAAGGAGACTGTGTTGTTCTAAATATCATGTAGCTTGATTTAGAGCTAGTTCTGTGTTTCACTGAATTATAGGTATCCCTCTCTGGGTGTTCCTTTCCCAACTAGCAATACACTGTTAAAGCAATCCACCAGGCTGGCTGACCCTTTTCCAGTTAATTTACTTTTTCCTTCCTAAGTTTTCAGGATATGTATAAGCAAGACTATTTCTCCTGTCTCCCACCTCCTCATTGTAACTGTTGATGGCTGACAGCTATGTTTCTCTTTCATTTCAGCTCCAGATGAAGATGTACTTGTTAAAGGGAAGCAGTCTATCAAGAATCAGGCTTTAGGAAATCAGAATTCAGAGAGCGAGATTCTTCTGGAAGGCGATGATGATACTTTGTCATCCATTGAGGAGAAAGAACTTGAGAATTTAACTGGTAACTTCTGCTATCAATATCTGGAATCTCCATACTGGTTTAGTTCCTCCTTGGCAGCACCATTTGTATAGTGGCTGACATATAGTCATTCATACACACACACGCGCACACACAGACTTAGTCAGAGACTAGATGCTTCTTTATTCCCAAAGAAAACTTTTTTTTGGCCATGAGAAATAACCTTTAAATTACTGCTTTAGATTCTACTTGTTGAGGACTTTTGATATAATATTTCAGAGATACACGTTTGCTTTTATGTGCCTGATGTTTTTTGGAGGAGGTAGTTTTATTCCTAATCCACAGGTCCCACAGCCCCAAAATACCAGGCTTGAAAACTAATCTGAAATCTCTGTTTAACACACTTTGGTCTCCTGGCTCCCTTTCTGTAACATCCATGCCAGTCATGCTGTGTTTTCCTTTTTATTCTTTAAAGAAGTAGAAAAGAAGATATTTGGTATTGTAGCAGATTTGTCCAGTTTATAAATAACATAAAAATAAAGAGGAAGCAAAAGCAACTTTTTCTGCTTTGAAAAGTATGTTCCCTCTTTTCTCTGGTCTAGAATTGAAAATTTACTCTTTTTTTTTTTTTAACTTTTATAAAAAGCTGACATCCAGACATATATCATGATTACTCCCCAAACAAGAATGTCACTTGTTAAATTCTGTTTCACTGAAAGCAGCGGGCATAGGGCATTTGTTCATTACTGCTCACTGGGCACATCCCACCATAGCATTTTGCATTTTATTCTACCAGTTGAATCATTAGCTTGGCCTTACCGTAAAATGAAGCATTAAAATATATCTCATGCCAAAATAATCTTCCAGTGATTAAAAAGAAACACAATTTTTGTAGCTCTTATAGAAGCTGCCGTTCAACAGATTTTGCTAGAACACCCGATCTGATCCATGTCTGTCTCTTCTCCCCCACCCCATTCCACATTTGTTACTTCTGCTAATGCATTCATACTGTAATAGAGGTGAAAGGGAAGTTTAATTATATAATCTTGACAATGGCAATAGGATTAAGAAGTAATCCTTGCTAATAAAGTACTGCAGGTTGGAAATGAAGTTGAAATTGTCAGGGGTTTTCAACGGGACCTAAGATGCCCCGGCTCTTGCAGCTGTCTGCTCGCCCTGTAATTGAATGTCTGAAAGTGATTGAAAAAATGTTATTTCTTCCCAGGATTACATGCTAATGTACAGAGGGCAAAGGGAGACAGCAAAAGAACACATAGCTGCTTATTTCATCCATTTGTGGGAATGAGCTTTGGGAAATCATGGCGGTCGTGCAGCTCTCGGATGCCCATCTGCAAACACAATGTATTTGTACACTGGGAATAGAGGGCAAAGCTGCTCTGATCGCAGCAGAGCATCTCTTCCATTGTGCTCCTGGCACACATTGAGATTGATGCAAGATTAAAGACCATCACAACCCCTAACAATCGACAGAAATGACAATTCATCTGGATTTTTTGGCAGTTATTCACCCATTGATTACCTAAGTGTGCACACCTCATTTATACTCACTTTATTAATGCAAAGGGTTATGTGTCACACATGCATTTTACAGTTTTTTAAAACAAAAGCCTGGCTGATAAATACACTCTTTGTTGGTCTCAGACTTCCCAGCTTTTGAAGCATTAGTATGACAAATATAATCCACTTTCCTCCTCTGGATCTTGCTTTATGTAACACCCTGTATATTGTTAGAACTGCGTCCAGCCTATTGTTTTGAGTAGTACACTGATCTGCCTCTGTGATAAGCCCTGTGGAGATGTGATTATTCCAATAAAAATTCATTCAAATGGAAACCAATGCTCCAGCTGTTTACTCCCACAGTCCCTGAGCTGCACTAACAGTGTATGGATTGCTTGAAACATATTTAACTGACAGATTAAGCACACTTTTCAAACAGTATCCTTCTCAGTTTCTAGCACTGTGTAATATTTAACTTTTGAACTTCTGTGTAATATTTAACTTTTGATATTTATATGCCTTTGCTGTGCATATAAATAAAAACCTAGCAGGGAATTCATCAATTTTTAAAATAGGATCCGCCTGCCTGCCTGCCTGCCTGCCTGCCTGCCTGCCTGCCTGCCTGCCTGCCTGCCTTCCTT